GATTTATCTATGTATACATATTTGGTATCTTTACTCCCTATTTCTGATGCCTCTTTCATACACGAGAAAACGCACTGGGCGACTGACCCCGGTTCTTGACATCTCTGTAGCCTGGGGCCAGTCGCATCAGCCATTGTGTTTTCAATGGCACGAAAAATGGGATTCCCTCGGAAAAATATGGGAAAAATCTGAATTTAAGCAACAAACATAGGGATTTCATGGCATTTCTAGCTGATTTATGATTTGAATGGGATATGGGGATATTTTACATGATATAACCATGAGGAATGGGGATATAACCATCAAAAATGGAGGTTTAAGCAACCTAGAGAGCTAGTTAAGTTGACACACATGTGCCTTGGTGAATTCTCTGGTTTATGGAGGATATAACTGTGACTATAATTGATATGGGCTTATAAACTATTGGGGCTTCGGTTTTATTGCGACAGCACCACGCGCAGCTGCGCAACACCACACCTCGTGCACAACATCCGCAACACCATCTCTTCCACAACAGCACACAAACAAGTCAAGGTCTATGAGCGCCTCTTGGCTTCCCACTCGAGGTGGTACTGAGCTTTTCTGCCACGGCAAGGCGGGCGCTATGCAGAGAAGAAAAACCATGTGCGTATGTAGGCGTTGCACCCCGCCCGGACGATGCGAAGGCAAACCTGGCAAGGACGGCAGAGGACACGAAGAGTAAAAACAAGGGAGACGCAACACATTGCTGGGGCGCCTGCAAAGATGGGACAGACCTGGCAGCGCCACTTGGACTAGTGGTCGCAAACAAGATGAAACAAGTATTAACTCAAAGCAGTGTTGCACTCTGCTAGCAGCGGCATTTTTTGTTGGAACTCGCTGTTCCGTGGCATTTGTCACTCTCTGAAGCAGAATGTTGAGCTGCACTGTGTCTGTGCAATATTGTCGATCCATCTTTGAATTTATTGTTGGTTGTTTTTTGCAGGTGTCATATAGGCTTCCAATCGAGTTGGACTGCAGGACCTGTTTGCAGCAACTATCGACGTGTTGCCGCGCCACGCCGTCTCTTGCGCGGAGGGGCGCCAGAGTTGTTTGGGCGGCCAGAACGTTTGCGGCTCATGGGCAGGTCGGTCAGAATCATGGGCGGCTGGGGAAGATTCGGGAGCGCCAGGCTGCGAAGGAAAGTCGAATGTTCACACTGCGCATGCATAGCCGCAGCTGGGCAAGAGCAAAGAACTGAAGCCGGGTTGACTCTCAAGTAATCGATGTCTCCAAAGTGAAGTTTCAAGGCTTGCAAACACAAGTTGCTATCACCACTGAAGAAAGCCGCCAAACTTCGAGCACTCAAAGTCTCTGGGCACCATAGAGTTTGCAAGACCTTCAAGGCAAGGCTGCGGTTCAGTGGAGAGACTGCAGTTGTGTTGGCAAAAGCAACCCAGGAAGAACCACTACCGACAATGTTGTACCATTGCTACCACTACCTCGTCGCGGGACACCGTCGCAAAAAACCCTCGCCGAACCGTTGCAAAAAACCCTTCTCTGTGGAGACTGTCGCAAAAGAAAAACCAGACTATCTCGTAAGGTTGCTATATACTGTTTGAAAAAAAAACCTGTTACCGTCGCAAGAAACCCTCCTCCCAAACTATTGTGTTTGAATAACCCGAATTCCGCCTTGGGTGAAATCATTGGAATAATTGGGCGATGGGCTGGGGGACTCCCCAGTTTTAAAGTTGATTTATAAACCCCTTATATATATAGATCTGGGTAAATTATAATATTTCCCTAACCTGAATTAAGGCCATTTTGGGATGATTGATGATTCCCCTTACTAACCATGATTTCCAGTGAGGTCGCAGTGAGGTCGTTATAATTTACCCAGATATATAGATGTATCTACCATGAACCAACTTGTCAACCTAGTTATAAACCAACTTAGCTACCTGTTAGTAACGGGGTGCCCACCTTGTTGGAAGAATTGGGGGATAACTGGTGGATCAATGGTTATCATGGAATATAATTTCTTATTGATCCAATTATAATCATATATTTGGGGAATATATGTGGAACATATGGGATTATATGGGGAATAATATATGTATATATGATTATTCTTATATATATACATATATGTGGAATAGGATTGAATGACATTGAATGTTGATATGGGATTTCATGCACTCAGATATTCCCCGTTCAGAAACTAAACACTCCCATTCTATGGTCCCGAATATGCGGTTTCATCCCCTACATCCACTTTTGTTTCTGGGGAGTTTTTTTTTAATATGAACGGGGCATAGGATTATCTATCAATCTGGATAAACCTGAAGTAAAAAATTATCCGGATGATCTATCAATCTGGATAAACCAACCTAACGTTAAAAAAAAAAAACATTGGGGATAATGGATAGTTACCTCTTTCAAAGAACCATTTCCAGTAACATTGACGGTGAGGTCATCGACATGTCAATTCCTTCAGCAAAAAACATCTGAGTTGTTACAATACCCCAATTGCAACAATGCAAACTATCCCATCTCATTATGCAAAAACATCCCATATCATTATAAAATATTATCAATACAAAATATGAAATGCTAGTTGGTTGATAGCTTTCCCTATGGGGAATGATCATCAAAAATCACCCAGGAGAACTGAACCATGTGACCATGAAAAATCCCATGTCATTTGGAGATGAGTCAGAAACTGTTTCAGAAATAGGGTGAATCTAGACATTTACCCTCTGGTTATTTAACATAGCCATGGAAAATGGCCCATTTATAGATGGTTTACCTATTAAACATGGTGATTTTCCATGGCTATGTTAAATAACCAGATGGTAATTACTCTGGCATTCCATGGTATACTTGTATTACTTACTTGTGCGTTTTACGGTTCGGGAATTTTCGGGAATGATCCACTGGCTAACTATCAATTTCATCATCCCAGCAACCCCATTCCCAACCCATCCATTCCCTACGTAAAACGCACCAGTAAGATGATTACTAATGGTTAATGATTGATGTTAGTTAATCGTGGTTACTAATAATGGTTAGTAATGGTTACTAATGGTCCATTCCCATCCATTGATTATGAATGCCTGAATTCTTGGGTCCTGGGTGCGCAGATCTACTAGATTTAATGGATCCAACTAAAGGTGAGCTATGTCTGCTGCTGTTGTCATGGCCGGACTGCTGGACTGTTGTGGGACAGCCAAACCTATGGGCACTTATCGCTAGATAAATCAAAATGATGAATTCTGGGTTGAATTCTCATTGTTCTTGGTCCTTTGTCGGTGAGTCTTGAGTCATATGTCTACCAAAACCGCGGAATTTTATAACCCATGTGCTGTTTAGTTGGGGGCCCCTTTCGATTAACAGCCATTTATCAACATTTCCCAAAGAATGAGATGAGGTAGCCCTAAAATTATCATTGAATCATAACAGCACCTCCATTTATCATCATGGCAACTTAATCTATTAACATGTCTTATTTCAACCCCCGCTCTATCGATTTCGTAGATCATCATGTTTATCATCGATTTGGGACGATCGATAGCCGCTATGTTTAGATAAGCAGAGGGTAAACCCTCATGGTTATTTCATGGTTAAACCATAGTAAACCCACCGTTTTTGATGGTTAAACCATGCTAAACCCTCCAAATGTTTGATTCGGTGCCCTGGGTGCGCCGGGCGCCAACTGCGCATGGTTCGCGGCGTCGCTCATGGCCCGTTGTTGCCGCACTTGCACCTGCGGAAGCGCGAAACCAGAGACAGCTTCGTGTTGTGACAAGGAAGAGGAATCTGGAAAAACATATGGAAAGTGATGGAAGAAATGATGGAAAATGATGGAAGAAATGATGGAAGAAATGATGGAAAATGATGGAAAACGATCTGGAAAAACATATTCCCCACCGCGACCCACCGCGACCCACCGCGACCCCAGCGCGCACTTCGCGTCGCTGCGTCTCTCGTCGATTCTCCAAGGCGCTAAGGTGCCAGGCACCGAAGATGCGGAGCCTCGGCAAAGGCAGGGATGGATGTTTTATGGTAGAGATATCATGAGACATCAATATTATGTGTATATATATATGTATATAATGTACATAATATATTATAATATATATATATATATTATAATATATATATATATTATAATATATATATACATTATAATATATATATACATTATAATATATATATATATACATTATAATATATATATATAATAATATAATGATAGATAATAGATATATTGTGTATATAAATAGATAGATTCTATACTTAATGGAGCAGATATCATGGTTTATCTATAGCTCGACTAGGTCAGGCCTAGTAATGTTATGTACTGTTGGACCATTTTTTCAGCCATGAATTCCTGAGATTTATATCTTCGATAAAGCCAACATTTCGCCAAGCTATCAGCTGACTCAGCAATCGTTTGCCGGTCTCACCTTGTAGGGGAAATCCAGCAATGATGGGATTTCTTATAGAGGAATTCTTGGGAAATCATGAGGGAATTAGGGGAAATTGAAGCAAACATATGGAGGACTTAAATGTTTAAGAATCAACCATGATAGGATAATTATGGGGATACAATGGGATATTAACAACCAACTGGATGTTTTTTTTTCGTATTCACTCGCCTGAAATGGTGACTATGGAGAGGTGAAACGCATATCCTGTATCAGCCAGAATGTCATTAAAGTTAACAGAAACCTCCAAACAAAATAGAAAAGTAACTCTAGTAACTCTCCATGATTCTAGGATTTTAGATACATTTCTATATATATATATAGATATATGCTGTTCTATTTTTTTTGTGGGTTGCTACCAGGTTACCGACTCAGCCTTTTTTCGCGCAGCTTCAGCGAAAAACCACGGGCGGCAGGTGCTATGGCAGGCATCGCCCTACCCCGTTGGGACCATCTTCGGATGGCTGGAGTCATAACTGACGATGATTTTCTCAAAACATATATATATATAATTATAATATATATATACATATAAATATCTCAATTACTGAAAACTCCTAAGATCTCCATATTTTTCCACAGCTGCATCGTTTCTCTCCCACAGTCAGGGATGGCAGCGCTCACTGCAACAGGATGCATTGCAGGATTGACCTCGAGGCGGGGGTCTTTTCAGCAAAATCCCACGGTCGGTCGATTGAGCTCCCGGCTGAGATTGGACGTGTTGGCGTAATACTTACCTGCCGGCTGCGGGCTGGGTTTCCGGCTGGTCAAAATCGGGATCAGCATCCCGTTTTTTGGAGGGAGAAACACACTACTTGCGAAATCTTGCAAACCATTGCAAACCTATGAAGTTCAAGTCGGTGTCTGTTTATTACTATAGTTGAACTAGTTGTCATCATTTCAACATTGAACACAAACTGGTTGGTGGTTTTAACCATCTTGAAAAATATTCGTCAATGGAAAGGATTATCCCATACTTTATGGAAAATAAAAGCCATTTTTGAAACCACCAACCAGCTAAATGTTCAAAAAAACAAGACATGGACGTTTAACAAGCCATTCATCTGTGGCTGGTCCCGTGCGATTCCTCCCAAAGATCTGGATGTTTTGATGGTGCAAATAGTGACCAAAGGATGACCGAGAATAACATCTAATGGCCAGATAGATCCAGATAGTAATTTTCGAAAATTAGTAACCAAACAAAGTTACCACGTTGTTTAAACAATTATTAACGAAATGATTTTAACCATTGATTCAGGATGATTAAACCACTAATTCACCTGTCCACAGTGCCATAGGCCATCCCCCGCATGGAGATCACATAGCTCGAACCGTTGGGACTCACAGGCTGTTGCTTCGAAGAAAAATATGGGGATGGGTCATGGCACCCTGGTACCGTGCCGTGAACCCCAAGTCATAGCTGGGATTTATGGATGTGAATAACCCACTAAAAATGGTATCTATAGGTATTGACCCATAGCCATATAAAGTCATGGATTCCTGGTTGGTGGTTTTTCGCCCTACCCCTCTGAAAAATATGAGTTCGTCAGTTGGGATGATGAAATTCCCAATAGATGGAAAAATAATCCAAATGTTCCAAACCACCAACCAGATTCGATGTATGTCATGGATTGCCAAGTCACTGAAGCAGTGTTCATTCCATTCTACTGCTTCTTTTCATCAGGGAGTCCCACCAGGGATGATCGCAATGCCACAATGCCCAATTTCATGTGGCTAAAACCATGTCATGTCTTCCATGACCCAACTCACCATAGATATCAATAGCTGGTATAGTATAAACCATTCCCAGATATTCCCAGTCATGGCTGGTTGACATTCTTTTACCATCTGGTAAACCCACATATAGGGGATAGATTTGGATACCCGGCCTGGTAAACATAGCTATTGAAAATGGCCATTGATAGTTGATTTACCCAGCTAGAAAATGGAGATTTTCCATAGTTATGTTGAATTATACCTACCCCTCTGAAAAATATGAAAGTCAGTTGGGATGATGATTATTCATCATAATATGGAAAGTCATAAAATTCATGTTCCAAACCACCAACCAGTTTACCATCTTTTAGCCACACATTGGATAGTCATGGATAGTGTCCCCGTCCAAAAAAGCGTAAAATCCACCAGGGCCCCACCACGCGTCGCTGCCTTCATAAGCACAATAGCCCGCCACGTTTTCCTTATCCTGGGCCCGCTGTGAAATCGCGAGGATACTTGAGGATACCTGGGCCCTGAGATATCCCCTCCAGGCGGGTAAATTCACATAGCGAAAATCACCATTTTTCATAGGATGAATAGGTAAACCATCTATAAATGGTCCATTTTCCATGGCAGAAAAAAAAAGTAGCCTCTGGTTATTTAACATAGCGGAAAATGACCCATTTATAGATGATGTAGCGATTTAAAGTGATGATTTTCCACATGGCTATGTTGAATAACCAGAGGGTAATAAGTATATGGTTGACTAATTTATCATTGATTTATCAAAATACGTAGTAAAAAACATGATAAACACATTCTGTAAGCACATCATTATCTCAACCAAACAGTCATTTTAAGTTTCCAAATAGGGATACTGCACCCAAAGTCATCCAACCTTTCAGTCCCAAATTCCTCGCCCGGAGTCCTGCGTTGGACGCCCGAAACGTAAACAGTCATGGGAAAACTTGGCTTTTTCTTGCGGAAATCAGCTAAACTTGGATGGAACAATTCAATGGATTGGTTTAAGGGAAAATCTACAGGAAACCATGGTTTTTACCATGAAATATAGGGGGTTCCTGTAAATTTTTCCGTCATCCAATTCTATGAACAATGGAACATCTAGTGAAAAATACCAACTTGGGACACCTGCTGAAATTCACATTGATAAACAAGAACCCTAAAAATTGTCCAACGTTGAAAACAAATATAAAGAAGCTATCTAGTGGTATGAAAAATGATAGATTCCTTCCCCAGAACCACATGTGGCGACGGAAAACAAATCCCCATTAAGTTCGATAATTTTCCATTAAAACCTGCCCTTTAGTTCGGGGATTTTCCAGCCAGCCTTGTTTGATGACATCATTATACACACGTGTATCGACTATTGACTATTCTCATCTACCCTCTGGTAAACGTTTACAAAAAACTATGGAAAGATCCACCATTTTCTAGCTGGGTAGTCATCAACTATTTCTAGCTGGGCCACGGCTTCAATAGCTGTTTTGTTTAAATGTTTACCAGGCCGGGTATCCCACTGAAACGTAAGCGATGAACACGGCCCAAACGTGGCCCAAACGCGGCCCAACCAAGGTTCCATCTGGCATTCACTCGGCTCCGGTCTGGCCCTGGCGTGAAACCTCAAGGTGATCCACACGTTGATCCGGCGAAAAGATGCTCTGAAAATGGGGTACCCTCTGGTAATTTAACGTAGCTATTGAAAATGGCCATAAAAATAGTCGATTTACCCATTGAAAATGGTGGATCTTTCCATAGTTATGTAAACGTTTACCAGAGGGTATCGTTTATGACTGAGTTTATAACCATGGTCTAATGGTTGCACCACCAAGCAGTTTGATTGGGCATATTAACTAATCCAATGAATCCAATGAATAGTCAAGATCATGACTGGTTGGTGCAATTTTGCCATCTTGAAACATGAATGGAGTTCGTCAATGGGAAGGATGACATACCATATATGAAATGGAACATAAAAGCCATGTTTGAAACCACCAATCAGATTAATTAGGCATAAACTAATCTGACTGGGAGAGTGATGATTAACAATCGAAGTTGGGGAGAAACCCAGATGAGAAAACCAAAAATCGTGACAGGTTGGTGGTTGAGCCTGAAACCATATCCTAGTGGGGATCATCACATTTCTATGGTTGAACTTGTTGACAGTCTTTTTATATTGCAGCAACCATAAATAACCATCAGATGTAGGAAAATCATCGCAGGCCAGCTTCCCAATTGCAGTTCTTCGGCATTTTTGGGGCGGGCTTCAGACTGCCCTGTTCTGCCCAAGTGGCGACATTTTGATGACTTCCTCGTGCTGTTGAAAGTCCTGACACGCGATGTGCGCCAGCACAGTGGCGACATGTTTCCACCGGGATCATCTCATGGATGGTTGAAATACTCAGGATTCGAATCGTGGTAGAATGAATGAGTGATTACCCTCTGGTAAATTAACATAGACCCTGAAAATGACCAATCTTTAATGGAAACTAGTCTTCCAAACCCTATCTGCCAGGGTCTATGTTAATTTACCAGAGGGTAGTTCTTAGTCTTACAAAAACAATCAACTGGTTGGTGGTTTTTCGCCCTATCCCTCTGAAAAATGATGGAGTGAAAGTCAGTTGGGATGATGAAATTCCCAACTGAATGGAAAAATAATCCAAATGTTCCAAACCACCAACCAGATCAAGCACGTGTATTGCTGAAAAAGATCAATGTTGTTTGTGAAATAGCTCAATGAACATGGGATAAGCCAGGTTCAGATCTACAAAACAAGTCCTTTTTTCAGCTGAAACTCCCCGTTCCCAAGGAATGTTTTGGTGCTTAAAAAACTGGCGATCGCTTACCCTCCAAAACTGTGGAGGGTTCGCATTGATCCTCTAGATCATCTTCCGAATGGGCCATTAAAATTACCCACATCTTTTTATATGTTTACCCACCCGGGAGATCAACTGGATTACCCACCGACTATGAATGAATGGGGTCACCCGGAAAAAAGCACGAAAAAATCGTCAGCCACCAATTTCATTTCGGTACTTGGAGGACCATCCCACTATAGTAACTAACTTAGTAAGCGCCCTTTTTGTAGATGGCTTCTGGATTACCTCCGTGGGGGAATCCGCCTTGTCTTTGCACTGCAGGATGCCTTCCCTCATATCACTGAGCCTGGGGAATGGGACGTCCCCTGCCCCCCCACGATTTGACCAAGGGGTTTTTCACCCAAGGATCACGGTCAGAATCAGTTGGCATGCTGATGTTGTACCGCTATGTTTGGGTCCACCGCTGCAGGCATGTGCAGCTCAGGACTGATTCCTCCAGAATCCCTTGTAGAATGCAATGAATCTGCTCAGTTTGGGGTCCCTGCCAAAACTTTGTGGGTAGTTGCTCTTCGGAGGAGGGGTTAGTAATGAACCACTAGAGCAAGGATCAACCACTGATTGATATAGTGATATGTGCATTATTTCGACAGCTTCACATTTCACTGGGAATGCACATCATTGTGTTATTTCTTGAGATGCCCCTTGTTTCCAGTTTCTTTCGGTATGACCCCAAGTTTGGAAAAAAACACAGCCACCTGCTCCAAATCCACCCAAAATCCCCATTGGGGCAAAGCAGCATCGAACCCCCTTTTTGTCGACCCAAAAAGATCGGGTCCCGGACTCAAAGGCACCCAAATAGCACTCGATACGCTCCAATGTGCTCATCTGAGCCTGCAGAAAAAAGTCTTCCAAGGCTCGATGATTTTCCAAAGGGTTTGCATCGTGAAATGGCATGGGGAAATTGTGACCCAAGTTGGGATGAACATGAACATGAACATGAACTGAGTTTGGCATGATCCAAAACTCAATCATCTTCAAATGTAAACCATATTACCCTCCGGTGTCATCAAACATGGTTTGCTTGAAAATCCATCATTTATAGATGATTTTCCCATTGACACCTCCATTTCTATTGTAAATTATGGTACAAAAACATCCAACATCTTTCATCATCTGCCTCCATTGACACGTCCAAAGCCTGCCTTGAGGAATATCTCCTCTGTCCTCGCTGTGGTCAAGGTCTCATTATAGGTCTTCCAAGTGCTTTCCTGAGTCGAAAAAAAGATGTTCCCACCAGCTACAGTGGATGTTGGAAGTTGGTAAATCTATGTAAATCTTTGGATTTTTTCAAATGAACAGAAGTTGATCTTTTCCAAGAACTTTTTTCTGTGCATCTTATTTTGAACTTCCAAAAATCCATGGAAATCTCTGTGGATTTGGATGCTTGGTCTCCAAAACGAACCAGTTTCATCATCATCCGATGGGATAAAAACGTCTTGCATGGCTCATTTTACCCATGGGTCACCTGGTGTTCACCACAATTTTTCTAGCTGGGATTCACTGGGTTTCATCGGTTTTGATCCATAGCCATCTTATGTTTGGACCCCAAAAAACCATGATTTATGGTACCTCTGTTCTTCCGAAACGGCTGCTTGAACGTCCAACGTGCCGAACGTGCCAGACATTTTTGTAGCAACAACTGGCAACAGGTGCCCGAAAAAAAACCTTGGGATTGCTACGCTCGCTCGAAGTGAAGCCATGGCAACTGGATAGGTGGCAGGGGAGTCAAACTCCAACTCAAGCTGAGTTTGATGACCTGCTCAAAGTGACTGTGACATACCCTCTGGTAATGACTAACGTAGCTATTGAAGCCATGGCCATAGAAATAGTGGATTTACCCAGCTATAAAATGGTGGATCTTTCCATAGTTATGTTAGTTTACCAGAGGGTAGACTGTGCAAAGTGTATGAAAACACCACCTGCTGCCGTCGAGACATGTAATATGTTGGAAAAAGGACTGATTGTGACAACTTAGATTGTCAATTAGTGAAAATTAGTTCCAAAGAGTACCTAAAGGAAAATAGGACCGCTTTAAACTTAGGGTCTTGGCAATATTTTTTTCCTTTAGGTACTCTTTTGCAGTCTTCCAGTTGATCAAAAGGATGTTTAGCCCAACTACTTACATCTGCAGCATTTGCTCATAATGGCCCATTTAGTTCGTTGATTTACCTATTAAAGATGGTGATTTTCCATAGCTATGTTGGTTTACCAGAGGGTACTTATAATGAATCACTCATGATTCCGGAAACCTCTTTGCTCCTTGGTTTCCCATTTCATGTCAACCCTGGATTAATAAACCCCTAGGCTGTTTAATTGGGAAGGTACCATTTAAGTATCAAATAATAACTATTGGGGGAATACCCCCCTAATTAATAAACTATGGTTTATTAATCCGGGGTTGACATTAGTAGGGAATGTGGATCCCCATAGCTCTTTATATTATATCTCCTTATAGCTCCCTTCCAAACACCAAATAGCACGCCCGAGCTTCTTGACAGCGCGCCACCAGCTCGCATTTCTGGCTCACACGAACCGCTGGTGGTTGAAGTGATGAAAGCCATGGTGGTTCCAATATTAGAAAAAAACATTCAAGAGCGATGAAACATGATGCATGGTCATGCGTTTTTCATGGTTTATTTTAAGACCCTTTGGGTTCATGAGGTCAAATGTATTCAAATGTGGCTTCTCCAAAGTGCTGCTACAACACGCTTTCGGTGAACATTTCTTTCAGCCAACAGTGCCCCGTGCGTCCCAAAAAACGTCCCTAAAAAATGCCTGGATTTCAATGGATTCCATGGGATTTCCACAACTTTACCCTCCGACTCCAGCATGACCCTCCAGCCGAAACAACCAGCCTTCGTGATGGAGGCCTTATAGCCACAGGAAGTTTCATCCATCTTGGCCTTGTGCTGAAAGAGACTTCCAGCTGGAACATCCAACTGATCTAGAAAAAGACAAGGAACATCTCTGTGGAAAAACACCACTGGAATATCTACAGTATACATATACTATACATTATACATATATATATATTATAATTATATAATATCATATATAAGCTCAATAATCATTTTAGCTTGGCATTCGTTTGCTTCGAAAAAAAACAAAAAAAACACGGCGCCTGCGCTTCGTTGCATGCTGTGCGGACCTCCGCCAGAGCCTCCGAGGCGGCCGAGGCATCGCCACGGTGACGCTGGTTTCTTCTGAAGAATATGAAGTGATAATTAATAATATTAATATACCCTCCGGTATTAACATAGCCATGGAACATCCCTTATACATGGAGGTTTTAATGGGAAAATCATCTATAAATGATATATATATATATACATGATAATGATAATGACAACGTACTATTAATATAACATACTATTTATATATGATAATGATAACGTACTATTAATACTATCGATTGATAATGTACTATTTTCATGATAATAGTAATGATACTGTAATATTAATCAATGTACGATTGGTAACATTATCAATGACAATGTACTATGAATACTATAATTGGTACTAGCACTAGCTATACTATTAATACTATAATGTACTATTAATATCATTTAATATCTATTAATACGATTAGAATAATAATCTATGATTGGTTAATATTCTGTGTCATGAGAATAGTATTACTATCATCATTGATAATGGTGGTGATGATGATGAATATTGATGATGATCGAAGGTGCTAATAGCAACTATGTTTTTAGACAGAATATGACTCACTTAAAATCTCTATGAATCTGAGGATATCTGTGGATGGTTGCGAAATCCTGCACCAGTTGGTAACTATGAAAAGTATGAAACATTGTAAATATCTAATGGGGTTCTCATGGGATTTTGCCCCTCTACCAACTGGTGAGGGATTTCGCAACCATCCGCAGTATCATGGCTGATAATGTTCATGTTCATGTGTTTCGATGATGATTCTGATTCTGATTCTCATTCTGCTAATTCTGATTCTGATTCTGATGATGATTCTGCTAATTCTGATTCTGCTAATTCTGCTAATTCTGCTAATTCTGCTAATTCTAATTCTGATGATGATGAACAATAGCAATTCGTGTTTGTGTATTTCACCCAGCAGAAATGCCATGCTCCGAGATGCAGTTTTCGCTTGGTCCACCGTGACCTTGTGCGCCTCATAGGCCTAGCGGCTATCCGGTGTTTATGTTAATTTCTGGCCGTTGAGGGAGCCCCAAAATTTATGGAAAAAAAAGGATGTATTCGTTTATCCTATAAAATCCTAGAGAGTTTGGGGATATATAACTCAAGAACATGTTTTTTGATCTAAATGATTCAACCCCGGGAATTCATTGGGTCGATTTTTTGGCGAAAAACAAAACATGGTGTTACCATATATTGGAGGTGTCCGGCTGACCAATTTTCCCATCCATTCCAGGAGAATGGACAGGAAGCTGTAAATTATTAGGCGAAGTTCAGCTACAATCTATAATATTCTGTAGCCTAATAATTCTGTAGTGAAAAACTATATAGATAGTTTTAATTATATTTAATTACTAGCTTAGCTACAATCTAATAAACCTGTGAATTATTAGGCATCAAAACTTTCTTCTGCCTGTGTTTACAGAATGCATAGGAACGTGACTATTTTTTTTTGACTACAATCTATAGCTCGTAGTATACAAATGTATACAATGTATACTAGATTATACTACGGTGGACGGAAGGTTGAAACCCTATAAATAGTGGGATGTTTACCACCGTTTTCAACTGGTGCAGGATTTCGCAACCATCCACAGTAGTACCTATACTACATATTCAAAGTGGTGAACCCAATAAAAAAAAAAAATCCACGTCGGGATGTTTCTCAGTCGTCTGAGCTTTGCGAAAGCTCTCCCGGATTCCCAACATTTACCCCATCGGGTCTGCAAGGTCGCTTCTTCCCGGTTCATCCTACTTAGTAATCAAGTAGTAAGTAGGCAATAATTTAGATATCTCTAATATTATATATACACATATATATATTATTATTATTATTATTATTATTATTATTATTATTATTATTATTATTATTACTATTATTATTATTACTATTATTATTATTACTATTATTATTATTACTAGTATTCTTCTTATCATCATTTATTGTTATTATTATTATACATTTCATGGAGTAAATAGGGCGATCGCCCACTTATAACGGGGGTACTTATAACCTACTTATGGTATCTTACGAAGAACCACAAGGGATAGCCCCAAGAATCCACTGCGTTTCACGCGACCAGGGCTGCACCTTTGTGTTTGACGTGCATTGCACACCTTAAAAGCGGATGGCAATGAAAGACACCCATTCTTCGGCACATCAGCAACAACTCAGTTTTTTTTTAATGTGTTGTTATATAGTAACCCCAAAAAAAGATAGAAACTGAAAAATCGTGCTGAAAAAAATAGTGATCAATGACTCTTCTATCTTTTCGGGGGTCACTGTAGTATGTTCCATTGCCCTAAAATTTGATGGAGAGAAGGAACATGGCAACTCCGAAAAGAACAGATTATAAACAAACATGAATGACTCAGTATCAAATAAAAAAATGTAGGACGAAGATGTTGGATGGGATCACTCCCAGCTTGCCGAAAATCGATTCGGGATACGCAGGATAGATCAGGATAGGGGGTGTCAATGTTGCATTAGATTCTTCAGTCAAGGATTTTAATGTTTACTTTCTCTTCACTTTAAGTATTCCCTAAAGACTAAGACCATGAAGGTGAATGTGATGATGACATGATATGACCATATCCTTTAAGTCTTCTCTATAAAAACAATTACATATGACCAACTGGTTGGTTGTTTCAACCCTTCTGAAAAATATTAGTCAGTTGGGGTTCCTATTCCCAATATATGGAAAAGTAAAAAATGTTCCAAACCACCAACCAGATGATATGACCAAACATAGATTCCAGCTCATCTCATCACTCCTGGGCCCGGACGTGAATCCACGATCTTCTGGTACTCCGCGTCCCAGAAAGCCAGTTGATCCTTCAAGTAGTCGATGTGCCTGTATCGTTCATGGGGACAAGTAACATGAGATGTTGATGTACTGGAAATCAGTTAGGTGGCTGGTTGGGAAATCCCCCTAAATTGGAGGTTTATAGCTGGGAACATCTAGAAATGGAGATAAATGAGGGGAATGCTCCATTGCCACGTTTGATTACTGCAGGGGAACTGATATGAATGAGGAACTGTCCATCACTATGGTAGATTCCAATTTGGTCCGCCGTAGTTTCTCCAGCAACGCAGAGGAAACCCCGTTTACCATGTTCTACAATATTGCCAAGCACAACTCATGTGACTTACTCAGCAACTGGGGATCAAAAAAGACCTGAGGGTTATTTTTGTTGCACATTTTCACAGGGGGATCCGCAATATTACATCCCCAATTTGTATCAATGTGTGGTATATTCCTGATACTTGGGATTTAGAATAGCCCCACTGCATCCAACTGCTTGGTGTTGGTTGGTGCTTGGTGTTGGTATCAAGGCTGTTCTCCACCCAAAATGAGACCTGAAACCCAAAGGATTGCTATGTCCAACAGCTCTCTCTGTAACATTGTCCACCAATTGCTTGGAAAAATAGAAAAAATTAACTGCCCTTTGGTATTCCAACACGGCCAGCTAGAAAATCCCCAGTCGCAGATACCTGGTCTTGCTGCTCAAAGGATACTTCTCCACATCCATGATACAGCGATTGGAATCGCCCACCTGGTAGCTAGGTGCGCGAGCGCTGTGTGAATCAACTGGAAGTTGGGGATATAGCCCCTATAACTATGGTTGATATATTATATAATAATATATATATATTTATATTACATTATATAATATATATATATGATATATGTAAAAAAAACTGGAATTGCAGCCCCAAGTAGCCGCCAGGCTTGCAACATCGGCGACTGGTGGCTAAAAAAAAAGCACCCGGGGTGATATCCCACTGATGTGCCGCTGCCAGATGTGGGGGGTTCTTCAGTCCTGGGGGATCCCCGTCCTGTCGTCATGGATGACCATCTTAGGAAACCTCCATAATCCCCGTATGATACTATCCATGATATTCATTGGTTATAAAAACCTCCATGATATTATCCATGATATCTATGATATTAGGAAACCTCCATTTCCATGGATGACCAGTATGATACTATCCATGATATTCATTGGTTATATAAGTTATATATCAATGGGATTGTGTGCAACGATGTGAAGGGGGATAAAACCACCCCACATTCACGAGAACTATTCCCACAGTTCGGGGTCACAAAAAAGAACCTCATTGGGGATAATGATGCAGAATAACCTCCAATAAACTAACATAGCCGTAATAGAGATGGCCAATAGAAATAGATGATTTACCTCTGAAAAAATCATGGAAACTCCACAGCAAACTCTTACTTTCTACCAGAGGGATGATACGATGGAGTAGCCTCCGGTAATCAAAGGTGGCATAGACTACTGGAGGATTCCCATCATATTCCCATCATATTCCCGTCATATCATAGTATTAGCCCAAATAATGTTCTGATTCTGATATCATCATATTCCCTTAGTATTCAGATATCATCATATTCCCACTATATTCCCTTAGTATTCCTATATATATATAGTGCTATTCATTACCATATCCTCTGGTAAACTAACATAACTATGGAAAATCACCATTTTTAATGGGAAAATCCACTGTTAATGGTCATTTTCAATAGCTACGTTAAATTACCAGAGGGTATATATATATATATAGTGCTATTCATTACCATATCATGTAGTGATTCATACTGAGTTACCCCCTGATTCATCATGACATCTCCCAGTCCAAACAACATCGTGGCCCGGCCGGCAGCAAGCGGTCGCTCTCGTTGCCCGCATAGAGCTTGCAGGTGTAGACCGTATTGGCCTCACCATGGCGACCGTGTTTATCCCTAGCAGTGGGGGTAGATGTGCCCCAAAATATCCAGGATGTGGCAGCTATTGTAGTTGGAAAATTGAAAAAAATGAGAACATATAATAACATATATAACCCCCGGTTTTCCAGTTGGAAACACTTTATGTTGCATTAAAATAATATAAAATAATATAAAATAATATAAACACCGTTGCAACTTCGGTTGCCCCTGGTATATGTTTACCTGAAATGGCGCTCTCCAGGGATGATCTTGAACCATCAACTGGTTGATTATCATCACCATCCCCAAGTCATCACCATTGAATTCTGGGTGGCTATAAACTATAAAGTATAAACCATCCCCAGTCATGGGAGTTCTTTATGGCAGCAAGGGTTGCCCACATGATTAGCCAGTCTTGGCACTTTTTTTCGCCACTATTCATGATTATTAACCATGGCTCACCATAAAGTCACAATTATTAGCCATGAATGGATGTATATATATACGTATATATTCCATATCACATTACTTACATACCCTAGGTTTTTCGGGGAAAAAAAAAACGACGGCAGTTTTTTTGCTAATCTTCAACCTCCATTAACGGTTCAATCTTTTTTTTCACTATGAAAACCACTATTAACTAGTATTATTAACACCATTATTAATAGTGGTTGATAAGAACCACCAGAATATTAATAATGGTTAACCACTATAACTATTAATAATGGTTAACCACCATATCTTAAAAACAAGATTATCAACCATATGATTAACAATCATTAACAATGATTATAGGTATCATTAATCACATTTAACCACTATGAATCTCAAGCCATCCTTTACCCATCCCCCAGCTCGAGCACCATGAAGACGTCCGCCAAGCTCTGCAAATCCGCCACGCGTTCCGCACGCTCGGCTTCAACGTCGCGGCACTTCCTGGCAGCGGCTACAGGGTCCACAGGGTGATTTTTGGTGATTTTATGGTTAAGAATATCTACCCTCTGGTAAACGTTAACAAAAAACTATGGAAAACCACCATTGTCTAGCTGGGTAAATCAACTATTTCAATGGCCGTTTTCAATAGCTACGTTAGTTTACCACAGGGTAATATATGTATGTATATATAATTCCATTAATGGTGATTTTATGGTGATTAATAGTGGTTAATCATAGTGATCATATTTCATGGTGGTTAATAATACTACGCCAACGGCCATGTTTATACATTCTGGCAATATGGAAAAATTCTTGGGTTCCAACGTATTTCAAGACATGACACCATCTTTGCAATCACAGAAAATCATGAAGAACATGATTGTAGACACTTGAAAATTCCCAATCATAATCACCATATTTGCAATCATTTGAAAATCCCCGAAAGTGTAGAAACTAAACAGAATCCTCATTTTTTAACAATCCACATATATCCCCATCATATATCCCTATGGCTTGTATCCCTATATCCGTATTGTTTTACCCACATTAGATAGGGTTTGGTAAATGTCCCTAAAAAAAATTGGGGATTTGTTGAACAATGTTGAACATCACTTGAAAAAGTATCTGTTGGAGATTCTATCCCCAATATTTGGGTGTTCAATTAGGACATTTACCAACCCCTGTTAGACATAAACCAGCAGGATGGATCGAGCCTGTGATCCTCGGCCAACTCTGGGAGTTTGTAGGTCTCCAAGCTAGAACCATTGACCTCATTTCACCACTAAAGATGGGGGTAAACCCATGGGAAACCCTTGGGACAAAATGCGATTTAACGAAGTTTAACCTATGTCATAGGGATTTCAATCGCTGATTTTTGCTAACTTTTTCAGTAGAGGTCACTTGGTGAATTCTGTGACTACAGGGATATAACTTATAAGTATAGTATTCATTCATGGGTTCAACTCAACAAACAAAGACTTCATGTTTCAGGGCCAGAGAAAGCCCATGGTTTTTAGGTGGAGATTGCCATGGGTTCAAATCTGATCCAGCAAGACTCCATCTCCTTTCTGGGATCCAGCATGACTATCTGACGACTCAAAGAGAGTTTCAACGTGACTGCCAAAACTTAATCCATTTATCTATGCTCATCTACACTCTGTGAATCTGACATGAAACACATGAAACTCAAGAATGACCATATCCACTATCCACTAGGGAAAATCATCTTTGAAACTCACAAATTAGGGGTTCCATCTTGAATGGTGTGTGTCTGATAATGGGCTATGATGGGCCATCCCAAAATTGCAATTTTAAGAGGGACAAGGATTTCTCAACGAAGGTGTTTTTCCCCTGAAGTGTCAGGTGCCCTTCCGGCCACAGAGGCGAAAACCAACTCTTCAGCAGTGGATTCTTCCTCCGTGCGTCCCCACATCACGCGACAGCGCCACATTGAGCATCTCTCTCCAATCGCGAGAGGAACAGCCGGCGATGGCAACGTAGGAAGCCTCTGCAGATCTGCAGATCATGTGTGAAGCACGTGCTTGGTGTGCAAAAAATTGAACAATCCTGGATTGATACTGGGTTGGTTGGATTGATTGGATGGGATTTCAGGGAAAACTTAGAGGAACCATTCTGAAACTTCAATAGTAGAATTGGGGCTTGCCGAGAGTGAATATGCATCATTATGCATCTAGTAGAATAAAATTGGCATGTCACTGAGCTGCAACAATGACCTGGGAAATGTGGACCTGTTTTAGGGATGATTCTGCTTGCCAATGATCATCTATGGTGAGGTCGTTCGTCTAGTGAGAATCGTTGCTTGGAATCAGCTAACCATTGGGATGGGGATCAGCTTCCATGAGAACTATCTATCCTCATTGGAGCCTCACTTTACCCCGCGTTTTCTTCGGCCACCATTTTTTTTACAAGTACAACCATTTTTCTTGGAGACTTCGAGGCTCTAGGTGGCACAAGATCCAGTGCAAGCCATCCAATTTGGAAGGGTCACCAACTAGACTTATGATTCCAGCAATAGACTTGGATTCCAATTGCCAAATGTCCATCTTGCCCCAAGTCCCTCAGGTTCCACATCAATCCTCCACCATTTCCAGGACATCAACAGTATGTTTTTTCGAATCTGTCATCTACACATAGTGGGAGTTTCCCTAACCCCCAAATGGCCACGTCTTCGGAAAAAGATGATCAACCACGAAGATTCGGTCCGTTTTTTGTCCAGCATTTTGCAGAGAAAAACCAGTTGCAGAATCAGTTGTCCCCAGCCAAGACACGTTCAACGACTTCTCGGTGGCGCTGTGTTGCAGATGCAACTCCTCCCAGGGAAGCAACCGATGGCTCTGTTTTGATATGGATGTGTTAGAGGATAACATCCAGGAAACGGCCGTTTCTATCAAAAGTTAGGGGAATTTGTACGTTCTGGGACTTGGCGCTTTGGCGCTCCCAGCCTAAATCCAGAAATCCACAGCAAAATCACGAAAACCAGTAGTTGAATCTAACAAGAAACAGCAAGTGGGGGAAACTCCATCAGATCATTCATCTTGTTTGATCTTCTTAGGAGTTATCCATCAACCAGCTGTCATAATGTGTTCCTATGAAATGAAGTGGCTCAGGTCTCATCTTCCTGTTTGGAGATCAACCCAGGAAAAACCATGCAAGGCTCAGTTCTCATGGAAGTACCACCACACAAACACTTTCGATGTTGAAACTTATGAGGGTTTGCAAAAATGGGGCATCCTCAAGTCACAAAATAGGTTTCAAAAGGTTTCACTACTAAGTCATGGTCATCCATGACGACTGGATGATTTGGGGGTACCCCTATGACTTAGGAAATCCCCATATTTGTAATCACTGATCCTAACGGATGAATTTCCAAGAAAACTCCGAGTTTTCTCGGAGCATTTCAGCATCGCCCCAACTCCAACTCCAACGTACCTTGGTGTCAGACAGATCTCCGGACCTAATTTGGAAAGTGAATATGGAACAAACACTTAGGTATCACAATCTACAATGTGAGGCCCCCCAGTGATGTTAGTTGGTTTATATATAAGCCCCAGTAACTATGGTTATTTAAGCGTACCATCAACCATAGTGAAATTGGAGTTCTGTGCACCAACTGAACGCTATCGTCAACGGGGGCCTCACAATCTATGTTCATAGCACCATGAATAGCACCCAGGTCTGACCATGGCACCAATCATCCAAGATCTCTTTGAAACGGTCCTTCTTCATCTTCCCATGCACCAATTTCCTCACCTCCGCCACGAAGGTCACCCTGGGAACGTGGCTTTCGGATGCCATCTGGAAGTAGGAAAAGCTATGAAAAGCTATAGATGGCCTCAAATTTCTCACATTTTGCTCATTGCAACTCCAACAGCATCCATATTTTTTTAATTAGACTTTTTCAACCTTAGAATTCTGAATGCAACAATTGCACAAAAAAAGATTTCGAGTGCAACAATTGTAAGAGTACTGGCAACACAGTTAAGATCAATCGAGTACTAAGGATACTTTGCAACAATTGTAATCAACTCGAGTTGAATACCGAAAGCTCTGCAGAAAGCAGCTCTACTTAGCTGTTTTTCTTTGGGCTCCGTTGGGCTCCAGACATGCCCGGCGAGGCCCCTTGGTTCACCAGGTTTAAGACCGACCTGCAACGAGGCGAGGCAACGAACCGTGCCAGCCATGTGTTTTTTCTTTAAAAAAAATCTGGGAATCTGGAAGATCCATAGAAAATGAGCATGTTTTTCTGGAAAATCTGGAAGATCCTTGGAGAAAATGGATGGAAATTGGATCGAAGACCCAAAATACCTGTGATGGAAAATGGATGATTTCTTCCTGTGGAAAAATGGATGGAAACCAGATGAAACATGCTGAAATTTAAGCGGGACTTTGTAAGAGAATACGATATAGATCCAGAAAGTTCGCCACATAATCGGCCTGCAAGTTGCAAAAATTGGCATGGGCCCTGATACAGTTCATATATATATATACATGGTTGTACCGACTATATACATCAAACCAATTCATCCTAGCCAAAGCAGAATAAAACACATACACACACAAAAAAAAAGCAGCAAGCAGGAAGCTCACATCTTCACATTCACGTTGTGCCTTTCCAGGTTCTGAATGTCATCATCCGGCCTTGGGTCAACTCCTTCTGAGTTTCAATCAATCCAAACTTGGTTCAGATTCTATGGTTATCAATGATGGTTATTAATGATGATTTATGGTTAATGGTTATTAATCATCATTCACTTGGCAACACAAAAATACCTATCCCATCAAAGAATATCAAAGATTGGAAGCCAAAAATCCCAGATCTTCCGATTCGCCAGTTCTTGATGTCATGGCGGAGTACGCCGGACTATTCCCATGATTGTTTTGAGCTGTATGGATCCAGGGTTCTGTTCCATCTGCGACCTCAGGATGGGTACATCTAAATTTGATCTCAATCTACTTCAGAATGATCAAGTAAATAAGTATAGATCATTAGATCATACCCAAGCCAAGATTTACATACACTATATCTACTCATACATAGATATATAATATATATATATACACATATATATATATATGTATATATATATACACATATATATACATATATGTATATGTCTTCCAAGTCAACATGCACAATTTACGTCTGATCCCCTGTCCACCCTGTCCGCCAAGCCACATCTCCGCTTTGTTTCGCGGAAGCGCCGTAACCGTGGGCGAAGTCGCCGGCGCTGCCAGGGATGTGACCTGGCTCCAACTGTTTATTTACCAGAGGGTATAGTATATTAACTATAGAAAGACCAGTTGGTTTGATATGCAACTGAGATAACTGAGATAATCAACTATAACCAACTATGTACTAGATTATCAATACAATAATTAGATCATCTATATACAATTGCACAATATGCATCAAGTATATTATAGTATTTGTAATACTAGTTATCATTATCTTTCTTATATTTACAAAAAGTAACAAAGATAGAGATATCCCTACTTAATATGTATAAGATAAGTATAGTAACTATAACCCTAACCTTCCAGTTACTTTTGGAACAGGTAGCCACTTCAGTTACCGACAGGTAACCAAACATATATTAAGTAGCCTCCCAAAAGATAGTATATATAATATTGTATAATAAAGATTCAGAGAGATCCCTTCTTTAATCGATTTTTTGTCTTTTCTATAGTTTTTTGGTGGTTGCTATGGATGTGAAATGTATGAATATACATACATTGTTATGACCAAAAAAATAGCGTGACATCCATAAGATTCCACTTCAGAATATCTCAGATATTCTCAGCTTACCCTCTGGTAAACGTTTACAAAAAACTATGGAAAGATCCACCATTTTATAGCTAAATATCTAAATCAACTATAAATAGCCATGTTCAAGAGCTTTTTGTTTCAGTTTACCAGGCTTTTGTTGTATCTCAACCCAGCCATTGCTGTACGGTTTTTCTACACCCTTCAGCTGGTCCCGAAAAACGCACGCGGTACCTCGAGTTGTAATTCGGGCACCGGATCTTCCGGATCCTGGAGATCCTCCGACCTCAGAGGGCTGAGGTGGGAATGAGGCTGGTGGGATAGGCTGGTGCTACCCTCTGGTAATGACTAACAGTTTGCTATTGAAAATGGCCATTGAAATAGTTGATGACTACCCAGCTAGAAAATGGTGGATCTTTCCATAGTTATGTAAACGTTTACCAGAGGGTAACACCCCCCCATTTTTATGGGACAAATACGGAATTCTTAAGATGGTAAACATACCACCTATTAAACATACCAATCATTGTTGTGGCCCTTTTTATAATCTGAATCATAATATTATGATCATATATCATGAATCACTGAGATGGAGATCTTTATGTGATTGAACTAATTGGCTATATGATGATTGTACTTTCATAGCTACTGGTTGGTGGTATACCTACCCCTCTGAAAAATATGAGTTCGTCAGTTGGGATGATGAAATTCCCAATATATGGAAAAATAATCCAAATGTTCCAAACCATCAACCAGGATGTGATTGACTAATATGACAAACATGCTATTTTTGTACCGAAAACATCCGAAAACCATGGAAAGGAACCGAAAGCGATGAAACAAAAGAGATGTAGGCTATCACTCACTCATGACGATTCTATGCTCTTCAGAAATGTCTCACTTTCATTGGTTCCCTATCGGGCGCTCACCATCTTGGAAAAACTGATAGATACTGACAGTAAATCCCAAGCCAGTTCATTCGTTCATTCGTTCATTCCCGGAAGCGACATCAGTGAGGTCATTGTAAACAGCCCATGGATCTCAGAGTCCAACAGCGACTGTCCAGCCTAAGTGGCTAAGTGGATCCAGGGTTTTTCAGAGTTTTGTCCAGCGGATCCATAGATCCCTTCGATGTTTCATCATGGCAAGATACCCGGCCTGGTAAACTGAAACAAAAAGCTATTGAAAATGGTGATTTATAGTGGATTTCCCCATTGAAAATGGTGATTTTCCATAGTTATGTTAGTTTACCAGAGGGTATCTGATAGGATCTGATAGGCAAACTTTATGTCTTTCTTTACAAGAATCACTTCAAAATGTGCCATATTCAATCGCTTTAGTCTCTTGGCTTTGCCAAAAATGGTGGGAGACCTCAATGTTAGCTACTTTAGGAGGCAAACGGATTTTCTCAACCATTGGAGTTTGGGATCTAACCCTCATTTTGGACCAATTTATATTACCCTCTGGTTATTTAATATAGCCATGGAAAATGGCCCATTTATAGATGGTTTACCGAACTTAAAAATGGTGGATCTTTCCATGGCTATGTTAGTCATAACCAGATGGTAATTTCCCTCAAGATATGGGCTCCCTTACCTTGGTTTTCCTTTCCAATCCACCAGAAAGTTCAGGTCCGCAGGTCACATTTGGGCAGCTTCAACCCAAAGAACGGCGCAACTGCGGCATGCTATCTATGTCACTTGACAACGGATCTAATAAGCTCGTTTTGGGATAAGTCAGTTTTTCTGGGGAAACTAACATGTATTAGTTCCTAAGATTTGGGGACCTAATATCATTATGCAAGAAATTCTTGGGATG